CTCCCTCCCCCCGCCCTCACCATGGCGCGCGGCCCCGCCCGCCCCACGAGGGCTCGCGCGCGCCCCGCCAGCTCCGCCGCCAGCATCGCCCTCCCGGCCCGCGTGACGTCACGCCAGCGCGCCGCTCAACGCTCCTCGAACGTCGCCTCTCCCCCGCCGCCATCTTGGTTACGGGCAGCGCCGCCATCTTTCTTGCGGGCGGCGGGGCGGTGCCAGAGGCGGTGTCGCGGTGTCAGGGGCGGTGTCACGGTGTCGGGGGCGGTGTCGCGGTGTCAGGGGCGGTGTCGCGGTGTCGGGGCGGTGTCGCGGTGTCGGGGGCGGTGTCGCGGTGCCGGGGGCGGTGTCACGGTGTCAGGGGCGGTGTTCCCGCTGTGATAAAGTCCCGGGGGCCGGATGGAGTTGGAGGTGGTCGTGGCGGGGACGGCGAGGTGTAACTGGGGTCTTGCTGCGGCCCGCGGCCTGGGAACCCCCTCCCGCGAGACCTGCAGGAGCAGTGAATGCCCAGAACTGGGACCCGCGGTTTGTGCGTTTGTGCCTGTTCCGTCTCCACCCACGTGCCGGCCCTTGGAATCCAGCTGGATGCGGGAACACATCACTCCTCACCTTGCCCCRAGCCATCCTTCAGCCCTGGGTGGMTGCTGGCCCTGGTTCACCAGCCCARCAGCACATCACTGTGCRAYTGCACATCTTCCAAGTCCTTCSATATTACYTGCAGCTGGGAATCCAAGTAAAGACCTCAAMTGTTTGTTTCATAAAAGATTTATTATAATATTAGAAATGCATAATATTTTTGGAAGAGGCARAATTCTTGCCTCTGTCTTTGGGCCAGCTCCTGGGCAGCCTTTGGGTGGTGTCTAAAATCCCCAAAGCTCAGGGCTTGGAGCTGGAATGGTCCCAGGCACTGGCAGCTCATTTCGGAACAGGGACCAAGCAGAGCACCGGCAGCTTTGGGAAGTGTCCCTACACCCATCCCTTGGGCAGTTTATTCCTAGCGAGTGAATGACTCTGGTTCCTCTGACCTATCAATCTGYAACAGCACAGAGATTAATATCTGGGCAAAAGCCAGGCTGTGCATCCCATGCTTGGCAGTCTGGAACACTCATCCTCTCTAACTGGATCCCCAAGTCCCCAACTGTGACACTTCCCAGAAGCTGAACGGGTGCTGGCCCAGCCAAAGTGTGCAAGGTCTGACCAGCAGAAGAATGTACAAGGGGCTCCACAGCTCAATAGCACCAACTCTGCTGTAGAAACCATCACTGAATAAAAGGAATTTTCTAAACCGTTAGCAGTGCTGTGGGCTCCCCTGGAGGTAGGATTAATTTCTTAATGGCTGGTAAAACAAGAAGTGTTGTTGTTTTCCTGGTTTGCTGCAGGAAAATCCTTTGGCCCTTAGGGGAAAGATGGATAAAGGGGTGATAGAGGAGCCTGGCTCATGGCAGATCAGGTGTTGCCCTCTCCCAAATTACCCCCCCCCACTTGGTGTTGAAGATGGTCTTTACCAGCACCTATTCACAGTGAAAATGGAATGAAGGTGGCTCTAAAACCTTGACAATAAAAGTTTGTTGCCATGTTGAGGTGCTCACAGAAGTCAGCACCAGCACTCACATTGTATGGAGAAGCTGAGGCATAGTTACGCCTAAACAAGGTTTTTAAAAAAAACTGTTAAAATGCTGTAAGAAATAAATATTCTTCTGTGGGCTCAGAATCTTAATGTACTGGGTATCAGCAGCTGCCAGAAGTGGGGAGAGCTGCRGGTGGGTGCTGTTGACAGGGTGAGAACCTCCCTGACACTGCAGACCCTCTCAGCATCTTCCCCATGTCATCACAGATGTCTCAGGTGGCRCATCCACCCTCACCCGGCCAAGAATGAATCAGTAAAGTGCTTTAAATCACATAATTTGCACTTGGTCCCACAGCTGCATCCTGCAGTGGCCTCCTTGGGGCTGGAGAGGGTTCACAGGAGAGCACTTGTGCTGTGGAGAGGGACACAATGTTCCCACAGCTCATCCCACCAGCCCTGGGTGCTTTTTAGCTCCATATGGATCTGAGGGAGGCCATTGCCAGTGACTAGAAGAAAAAACTGATGCGAGAGGCCACTGTTTTGCAGCCTGTTGATGAGAATAATTTCTCGTCTTCTGGGAAGTAGGGGATGCTGTCAGCCACTTCCTGGATGACATCTTGGCGTACTTCAAGGCCCTGCTGGACTAGCTCATTGATGACACACTGCTTTACGTGGTGGTGCTTCAGTGGRAGGAAAGGCACAACAAAATCAATGAGATGATCATTAATGATCCCAGACTTCCAGAAGCCACCTGCACAAGGAAAGGAAGAGAAGGTTTTACCTTCAGAGTCTCTGCAGTATCTGCAATTCAAAGAGCTGCTTTGGGTGAAGCCAAAATACTCTGCTGAAGAGAGATCTGCTGGTTTTGTACGAGGAGAGGGTTGGACCCGTCAGTTGTCACCTCCCTCCCAAACAGACTTGCTCTCCCCAAATAGAATGAGGGGATTGATTTAGCTTGTCTAGCCAAGATTTTAAGCTCTGCTCCCTTTGCTAAGGGCAAAACAAGGAGACCCAGGCAGGCAGTGGGGATCGATACAGCTTGGTGCTGTTTTGGCAAGTGTGCTGTGCTCTCTGCCAGCCCCCAGCTGCAAATACMCCTTGTCTCCAAAGAACTTTGCTAAATGTGGCAACAGGTCTGCTGGCTCAGAAGCTGGATCCCTTTGCCAGGAAACCTCACGGGGATCGCAGTTCCTATCCCTCAAAATCCCCTTGTCCCTTTCTGGCTGCCTGGGAGGTGGCAGGCAGTGTGGGTGGCTTCCTAGAACAGGCCTGGCTGCCTGTGCTGGGCTGTGGGGCTACAGRAAGAGCTCAGCTCCATGGACTCACTCTGAGGGTTCTCAAACACAGCCTTGGAGATGGCTGGCTCCAGGTCCTGCAGGCTGATCTCCTCCCGGTCCTTGCGGGCAYGCCACAGAGCCAATGTCACGTTGTTGATCTGCTCCCCTCCTGCATTGCTGCACAAGAATGAGACCCTTACCCAGTGTGTACCCAGGAAAAAGGTGTCTGAGGTGGCACCTGACACCCACCAGCCTGCAGRGTGCAAGCCAGCAGCTCCCAGCTGCCTGGCCCAAAATAACTCTGGTAGAGGCAGCCAAATAACATGCAGAGGAGGCTTTTTCACACTCTCCAGATCTGTCTGTTCACAGAGAGATAGCATCTYTTGGCATTTGTAGGGGCTTAAGGCTTGGAGAAGGAAAGGCAAAATGAGTGTGTGCTCTGAAGTAGGTGAGACCTGAGCTGGAAGGCCCCATGGAGAGGCCTCTCACCTGATGAAGATGAAGATGGCTTTGCGGTAGTTGGTCCCATACACAACCCACGAGGGCCCCAGGAACGGGATGATCACATCAATCAGGCCTGGGTGCATCTTGTCCATCTCATCAAAGAGAAAGGCTGACCGTCCACAGTTTGTCAGGTTCCCTTGGATCCAGCGCTTCAGGTTTTCCTAGGAAAAACACCCACCAAGCTGTAAGGCAGCGGGATGGTGAAGGAGGCTCAAGCACCCAGAGCAAAGGCTGAAGCAGGAGCTCAAGCAGAGCCAAAGGTGCTGAGAGCAGCGTGTCCCTGCACAGCATCACCCACTCAGAGCTCAACCAACCACTGCTGCAGCTTTATTCTGGGTTTCACACAGTGGCTGTTTACCAGCTTTATTAGCCCATCATAGGTCTTTTATTACAGATTTAAAGACGGAGGCAGCATACTAAAGCTTGAGATTGAGACTCCTACAAGCTCCCCACGTTCTTCTCATTCCCTGTTGTACCTACACAGTTTCTTGTTCCCAGCTTCTTGCCAGCTGAAACATGTGCCTGMACTGACCCAGAACAGCTCTGGCTCTTTATCATGGCTGAAGGTATTTCCCAGCCCATACAAAACCACTCACATTGCCTGGGGGCATGTGTAAACTCCTAAWTGAAGCATTTCCTGCAGGAAGGGATTTACCTTCCCAAAAGCATTTCCTCTGAGGACACAATACAATAAATAACTTCTCCAAACACCCAGAAAAGAAAGGTCCAGGTGTGCTGAATSCCCACTCTGCTGAAAATCTGGCATTTTGATTTCTCTTTCTCAGATTTAAGAGACAGAATGGCACCATGGAGAGTCTGGAGCTGATATATGGGAACTGTGTGCTCTGTGAGGAGGGGATTACAAGTCTAGCGATATGCAGGTTTTTACAGCCAYCATGATGTTTGGAAAGCAATGGGAAAATTTTAGTGCCTTTCATCTAAGCCAAGCACTTTTGTTTGTGTGTTCAAAGAGCTGTGTAAATATTTAAGAACGAGAACACAGCCAGGGCAAGGACTGCTGCAGAGAGGACGAAAGTGATAACTGAGTATATCCCAGTTACTAATGGATCCTTCAGCCAGTGTGTGGAGCCACTCACTCARCTGTGTTTGTCTGAGAGGGTAAAACAAAGAGCTTTTATTCCTACCGCACTTCAGGAAACAGCTTGAATGCATATGYACTGAGGATCAAGACACACATAGCCAAAACCCCGCAGTCAAGTGGCACTGCTGAGCGGTGTCCCTTACCTTGTACTGCTCTATGTGCTCAGCGTGAGGGAAATGCACTATGGGGGAGAAGTGGTGAACATRGGGGCTCTGGAGCCCCCTCCGGAAGAGGTAGCGGATGAGCATGGAGCTCACGTAGGTTTTGCCTGTTCCCGTCGAGCCATGGAAGGACATCACGAGGGGTTTCGCCGGATTCGGGTTCTTCAGGAACTCCCTCATCCCCTTCATCACCTGCTGCCTCACCAGGGGCTGCCCCACCAGGCTGGTGGCCAAGTCAAACTCCAAACCTGAAACGAAGGGAAAGCAGAACTTGGAGAAAGCGGGTTTTCATCGCTCGTCCCATCCCTTGGGGCCGCCCCCCGGGCCCTGTCAGTCCCGGCTGCCGCACGACCGGAGACCCCGCTCCAGGGCCGACCCCAGGAAGGCTCTCCTGGAGAAGCGCTGGTTCTCGGGGTCCCCTCACTCGCTGCCTCCCGGCCTCGGCAGCTGCGCGTCCCTCACCCCGGGGGTCCCCCGTCCCCAGACCCGCTTCCCGGCCTGCCGCTCCCGCTGACCGCGCAGGTCGGGCCCGAAGCCGCACTCGCAGTCCGCCGAGAAGCTGCAGCGCAGCCCCCACAGGTCCCAGGCGGCGGCGGGGCGGGCGGCGGCCGCCAGCAGCACCAGCAGGGCCCGGAGCGGGAGCGGGGCTGCTCCGGGGGCCATGGCGGCCGCGGCTCCGGCACCGCCCGCACTACAGCTCCCGGCGTGCCCCGCGCGGGGGCGGGCAAAGGGGCGGGGCTATGGGGTAAGGGGTGTGGTCTAGTCCGCATCGCCCCGCCCCCCTCCCGGGCAGGGTCCCTGTGCCCCCCGACCCCCGTGCGCTGGGGACACGGGACACCCTCGCTCACAAGAACCTTCTGAAATTCAACAGGGGCAAATGCAGGGTCCTGCACTTGGGRAGGAACAACCCCGAGCACCGGGACAGCTTGGGGGCTGACATGGAAAGCAGCTCGGCAGAAAAGGACTGAGGGTCCTGGTGGGAAACCAGCTGTCTGTGAGCCAGCAGTGTGTCCCTGAGGGTCACCAAAGCCAGTGCGATCCTGGGGCGGAGTAGGAASAGCATTACCAGCTGGTCAGGGTGATCCTGCCCCTCCGCTCAGCCTGTATGTATACACCCGAGGGGGATGCCAAGAAGATGGACAAGGCTCTGCTCAGTGGTGCTGAGGACAAGTGGCAGTGGGTAGAAACTGATACCCAGGAATTTCCACTTGAGCACGATGAAGAACTTCTTTACTGTGCAGTGACCATGCACTGGAACAGATTGTCCAGAGACGGTGTGGAGGCCACAAGGAAGTGGGACCAGATGACCCAGTGTTGTCCCTTCCAACCTGACATTCTGTGATTCTGTGACACCTCACAGCCCTCCTCAGAAGGACTGTAACCGTGGGGTCTGCAGCCAGGTGGGGCTCAGTTCAGCACAGTGGTTCCCCCCACCAGCCCTTCCCATGCTCTGCTCTCCTGGAGGGCTCATTTAAAGGACACCCACAGGACAGGGGGTCCCCTTGAGGAACGGGATAAAAGTTTATTGTATGTAAGAACCAAATCCATGAGATATGTACATGTATTTACATGACAAAATGAATAAGCCTAATTATTTACAACAAGGACTGTCCTTCACAAGTCTGTACATCGAGAAGTAATTGTCAAAACATATTTACACATGGGATCCAGCAGCTGTGGGCAAGACAGAGATGGAAAAAAACACAACTGAAGGGTGACGTGAGAGGGACTGTGTAGCCATGGACCTTGGCAGGACTGGGTAGTGGAAGCCAGGGCTGGCCTGCCCAGACACTGTCCCAATCCTTCAGGGTAGAAGTGTGGACCTCTGGCCTGTTGTGTCCTGAGGAGGTGGGTGGTAGATTTGAGGGGGCTKCTTTTCTTCCTCTTTGTCTCAAACCTGCCGACCTGTGCCTCAGCCAGGTGCCTTTGGGGCCATCTCTCCTCCAGGTGCCGGGTGCCTGGTGCCTTCCCTCGCCCCACAGCCACTGGCAGGGCACAGGCTGGGAGCTGGGGGTCTCCGAGGGGTTACAGCTCGCTGAAGCGCACCGCCGGCTCCAGCTTGTGGGACAGGGCAGTGAGGACCTTGTCAAACTTCTCRTAGCGCTCAGCCTGGCTGCTCTCAGCCCCACGGCTGCCCCAGAGCAGCCGCAGCTGGAACTCGGTGCTGAACACTTCCAGCAGCTCTGCTCTGCCCTGGAAACCTGCGGAGCAGAAAGGGAGAGTCAGATCTGTGGGATGGGATGGGGACCCTGTGCCTGGGGGGTGCTCCATTGGGAATGGGGCAGAGGGAAAGGGGCTCTGCTGTCCCCTCTGCTTACCCTGCAGTTTCATCTCAGCATTGGTGTGGTAAAGCCCACCATGGTGGGCCACCATCCGTGCTGCCTCCAGGTGGGCCATGACCACCTCCACGCCGTTGTCAGTGGCCTCCCAGGGCTCGGGGTTTTCCGTGAGAGCCTCATCCCGCTCCAGCAGAGTCACMAGAGGTATGATGTGGGGAAAGGTGGTGTTGGTCAGCGGCGGCCCTTCTGGGGAGAAAGGCACTCTTAGACCTYGTGTGACCTTGTAACCCCTCCCCATCTCCCTGCAGAGCGCTCATGTGGCCACACAGTGCTGCAGAGCCAGGCAGCCACTGTGCTCCCAGGAGAGGCTTTAAGGCTCAGCTGGACACAGCAGCTGCTGTGTCTGTTCGATCGCTGTGCCTGGGGCCATCGCCTCTTCAAACACCAGCTCCTCCCAGCCAGGCTTTCTGGCTGTGCTGGGAAGGGAAAGCTGCTGTCCCTGCTCAGGCTGCATTTYCCAGGGCTGCAATGAGGAGTAGGCTTGCAGACCACAGGGCACTGGGCATTAGAGAGACATGGCTTTTCATCTTTCCAACTGGCCGCCCTGTCCCTGGGTTTGGCATCACCGCCATGCGAGCGCRAGGGTTTGGCCCAAACCTCGCGGTTTGTTTTATTTAGTTATGAAATGCTTCCTTGGGAAGGAAGGGGCAAAYGAGGCCAGACAGGCCCTGCTGGGTGCTGGGGCGGTGCAGCAGCCAGAGGGGAAGTGTCTGGCACCAACTGGGAGAGAGTCAGAGCTCCCAGAGACGCCATGCCCAGACAAAAGGGAAGGAGAAGGTGAGTAAGAGAAAGCAAGTTGCTCCTGTTACCTCTGCCCTCATTCAGGTTCTTCAGGAATGGCTTAAGCTTCTTCTCATAGAGGATTGCGCCCTCCGTGTGCCGCTGCCGTAGCACCATCCAGGTCTGCTCCAGCCGGGCGATCTGAAAGGAGACAGGGCACGTGGAAGGTGTTGGGGGCAGCACAGCTTCCAGGCATCAAGCTCTGGGCTCACAGCCTGGCTCTGGAGCCACGGTCCCCAGCCTYGTACACAACAGTGCCTGCTGATCCCAAAAAGAGCCTCCTCCACCAGTGCTCGTGGCCAGAGATGGCACATCCCTGGCACTGAGGCTGGGCTTAGGATTTCTCCCSCTGCCTGTGCCCCAGGACAGTAGCTTCCCTGCGTTGCAGCGGCCTTGAAGATGAGATGCAGGGAGGGGGCAGCCGTTCCACCTCCTTTGTGMAGGCAGGAAGCAAGACTTCCCAGCTGGGCTCGATTTAAAATTGAATTTTAATCTCCTTTCATCTTCCAAAGGGAGCAGTGTGGCCYGGAGACGCTGCTGCCACAGCCTTGAGACTGATTTGTATTGTACCAGAGGGCAGATTCATTTCCTCCCAGGAACACAGCCCAGCACAAAACAAAAAGCCCAACCACCGAAAAACAATCGGATCCTGGCGGGACTGGTCTGTCTGCTCCGCGGAGGGGATGGCTCTTCCCCTTCCCCGCTTGCATCCCAGCGGATGTGGCCCCATGCCTCCTTCCCTGGGCATTTTCCCCTTTCACCCATCCCAACAAATGCTGGAGCCTGCGGGACACAGGGAGAGGGATGCATTTTGAGCCAAGGAGCATCTCTGTACCTGTGTCATTTCCAGGGCGTTCATCACAGCTGCAAAACTGAACATGTTCCCCATGGTGCTCTTCAGYTCAGCAGCCAGCTGGATGGTTTTGTGGAGCAGGGCTGCCCGCTCCTCCGTGCTGCCTGTGCAGCCCAGGATGTCCACGGCGATCATGATGGACATGGTGTGAAACCTGYCAAAGGGCGACACACAGAGCAGGGTCAGCACGGGGAGGGGGCTCAGACAGGGAGAATCCACTCCCCACCCCTGTGCCAGGCTGGGAACACCCAGGGGAACTGGACCAGGCCATGCAGGGCAGCTCAGTGGGCTCATCTTGGCCGTGCTGTGCCGTACCGTTCCAGCAGGTCCAGGCGGAGCTGGTGGCCGTGGGGAAGGGTGAGCAGCTCCATGCCAGAGCTCACCCCCATGAGCCGCTGCATCTCCGCCGTCACACCCAATATCCGGGCGACCTGGCAATGAARGTGAGAGCTGATTAGACCTTTGTTAATTGAGGAGAGGCTGAAGTGTCTTTGGGCAGCCTCTTGCCTCAGCTCAGCCTCTGCCTGCCCTGGCTGATACAGCATGGCAGAGCCCAGCAGGGATGCTCCCATGCTCAGGGGTTCCCTGACATTCAGGAATGCACTGATCCCTGCCAAGCCAGAGTGATCAGAGGGCAGCAGTGCCCACCCATCCCTCCTGGCCCTGGCCGTACCAGGCAGTCCACTTTGGTGATGTGTTTGGCCAGCGTCTTCACGTCCACCTCTGCCAGTAGCTCTTTGACTTTCTTTAGCACAGTCATCTCCAGTGGTTTGTTCTCCAGGGGGATGAGCAGGGACTGGAAGGCAGCAGGGTTGAAGGACGAGGTTGTTTCCATGGTGGGGGGCACAAAACCCATAAAGTCCGGCTCTGCTTTCAGCCTTTGCCCTGCCTCAGCTTCCCCAGAGCTGTTCTCCACAGTCCCTCTGTGTCCTTCCTCCACCTTTAGCCTCTCCACGTAGCTCTTTGTTGGCAGCTGCTTGGTGTCGTGGGCTGGCCGCTCCCTGCTGATGGGTGAGGTGGGGTGCAGCTGGCAGTAGTGCCCCGTGTCCGGGTCGCTGTAGCTGTTCACRGAGGGAGAGGGCGAGGCACGGGCGTACCCGTGGCAGGGAGTGGAGTGGGAGCTGTGGGCAGAGTCTGGCAGAGGTTTGCTGTTGTTCCCATGGCACAGTTGGGGTTCGCTGGACCTTCTAATGACCGGAGAGGCCGGGGTGATTCCAGATGCTTGGCAGGCATGTGGCTTTAGCCGTGTGACTGTAGGGAACAGAGGAGACACTTATCAGAGCCTGGAGATGTGCACACACATGTAGGAACTGTGCACACAGCAGCCCAGGGACATGGGGTTCAGGAAAACCCCACAGCCAAAACAGAATAACCTGGTCCCAGGACAGCTGTACAATGATGGTCCTGTCCCTTAGATCACCCTCCTCAGGTCCCTGCATCACAACAGTGCCAAGTCCAAGCTGATCCACAGCCCCACTGTCTCCAGAGGGATGGAGGGGTGATGCCTACCTGTGCTGTAGGCAGGTGACGCTGGGTTCTCAGAGATAGGGGACATTGGGGAGTGCAGGTCTTGGATCTGGTCCACGCTGACGGCACAGTTGCGAATGATGTCTCTGTGGTGGGGCAGGGACACACTGGGGAAAGGTCARAGAAGGCAGGTTAGTCCCTTAAAGCAGGGCCCAGGCAAGCACAGAGGGGCTGGGATGAGGGTTTGCTGCCCCAACACCT